GTTGCTTCTATTTATATTTTCGTATTCAAATGTATTATCACTCATTTTATGGTTATTAATTTGATTGATGTTTTCATTGATTATATGACATAATACTCCTTGGGTACTAACTTTGTCAAACTTTAATATTTTCTGTGAATCATTTATATTTATTATTATTTGTTCTTGATTGAAATCCATAACAGTTTTCCATGAGCTTAACACGTCCATTCCGAATATAATAGGTCTTACTAAATTGGGTACAATCAACATTTGAATGTTCGTGATTTGATCATCTATGGTGATTGGCAACATTATTATTTTTGATATTTTCTTGGATTTATCATTTACAGCGGTTTTATACTTGTACCGACAACTGGTAGTTGTTCATGACGGCCAATGTTTATTTGGTTCTCAGAGTACCAATTTTCAGACATACACGTTACGTTTGAACCTGTATCAATAAGAGCATTTACATAAATATTATTAATTTTAATTTTGATTTCTGGATAATGAATTGGTATTTGTTTTAATAAGCATTGTTCATTAGGACTTGGTTCTTCTGTAAGTAGGAATTTTCGGTCACAGTAGATATTACATATAGTTTGAGCGTCTTGGTCATTTGGTTTATAATTATTAATTTGCCTACTTAATCCGATTTTGTTAATATTTGGCACTGAAGATCTTTGTTCATTTAATTTAGATTCTGATGTTGAGTGTAGGCAACTATTATCGACAGTGCCTAACAGTTTAAAGGTTCTTTAGGATCGTTGGGTTGTGTGACAGTATTATTTGGTCGACTCGGGTTTTGTTCAACTATCATATGGTAAACTTGATTTTGTTCCCGTGTAGGGTATCGTTTTCCATCGTTTTGATTACTTTGTTGTTGACGTGGATTACATCTGTGTTGGTTTTCTGGTGGTGGTGGATAATTAACTCTGCGATCTTGATGTCTTTCGTAGGATCGATCGTTGGATTGAGGTATTTGACGTGGATAATGGTTGTTTGGAGTATATGCTCTGTTGTCATAATTATTTCTATTTGGGTATGATCCCCTCCAATCCTTTTGGTATGAATCTCGGTGGTTTTTGTTTCTCCTCGGATGGTCATTGGTCCTATTTTGTGGATTGTTATTTTGAATTGTCGGTTTTGGTTGGTTTCGGTTCTGTTGTTCTTTGGTGTCTTCTCTTAGTAATAGAGCTTCAAATTCTTGTATGGTCTTTACATTTTTGACGCGTCGTGCATTTTGGATGAGTTCTTCAAAATGTTCGCACAAGCAATCCACTATTACTTCTTCATCAAGAGGTGGTGTCAATGATTGTAGTGTGAGGACACGTTCTACGAAGTACTCTGATCGAGACAAATTTCCATTGTTTCGGTATTTTTCAGTTTCTAAACGTTGTTTTATCCCTCGCTGTGTGTCTCGACTCCAGTATTTGTTCTCAAACAGGTGTTGGAATTGTTCCCAATTTCTAATGTCGCCTTTTACGAGGTTGAACCAACGTGCAGCGTGATTTTCAAGGCTGGTTTCAATCAGGTCGATGAGAAACTCTATGTTGTCAATATTTGGATCTTTCCTTAGTATACTCTTTTTATAGTATTTTTGCAGCTTAGCAATGAATTCTTTCGGATTATGTCCTCTACCATTGAATTTTGGTAATGTCATATCTGACACGATTCCGGAGTTTCCGTTACATGTAACATAGATATGTTGAGGGGACGATGTTACTTGTCCATGTTTAGTGATATTTTGTTTTATGTTAATAATCTCCTCACTTTGTTTTTGTAGATTCTGTTGGATAGCGGAAATTTCTTGACCTTGATTTTTAATAACGATCAGTGAATTTTGTATTTCATGGTCATTTTGTTTTGATTTTGCTGTTATAAGTTGTTCATGTTCCAACCTGAATTGGTTTATCTGTGAATGAATATCATATTTTTGTTTTTGTATTTCCAAATTCACTTTTTGAAGAGTTTGAGAATTATTTTGGATTATCATGGACTTCATTTCGGATTTTTGTTCTTCTGAGTCTTGGATTAAATTTTCACGTATTTTGGTATCACATTCATATATTTCTGCTTTAAACGTTTCTTTCATTGTAAGGATCTCTTTGGAATGTTGAATCTGAGTTATTTGTATCTGATCCATTTCCTTACGCATGTTTTCTTGGTTAGTTTTAACAGAGGTGATTTTTTCTTCAAGGGAAATCTGGCACTGTTTAATTTCACGCTGAATTTCTGATTTTAAATTATCATTTTGTAATTTTATTTCTGACATTTCAGATTGTATTTCTAATTTTAATGTGTCGTGTTGTGAAATTATTAATGCATTATTCTGTTGAACCATTCGCATTAATTGAAGAATAGAATCATTCATATTTATTTCACTCGCAGCTGTTAGAGGCAGTGATGCGATGTCTGTGACTCCAGTCGTATGTTCATTCGATGTCAGTGTGGTGGCTTTCATAGTGACGTCACTCACATCAGCTGATTTGTCTGTCTGTTGTTGTAACGATTCATCTCCGCCGTTCTTCTTCTCCTCTATGTCAAGTCCTTCTGCTGTGTCCAGTTCTCGTTCCACCATTCCCTGTGTTCCCATTGGCTGGTGTGAATTCGATGCGGATGTCATGGCGGCGTTGTCTTGTGCGTCTGCTGCTGTGTTGTCTGTTGCTGTTCTAGCGATGCTTTGTGTATGAATGTTTTCTTGTAGATTGTGTCCTTCGTTGTGCTGTGTATTCATGTCGTTTGATTGTATGTTGTTTACGGTGTTCACAAAATTATCTTGCTTATTAGCATTTGCTAATTCGCCACAATTATCGTCTGGGTCTGATTCACTGTCGGTATTGTAACGCAAATTATTTTCGGCTGCCTTCCATGATAACTTCGGCTTTGGTCGTAAATTGTACCTTTTGTCATCGTCACTCATATTGATTAAATAAATGATTATTCCCTGTGTTGTTGTATATATTTTTTATTTGTGTATTTGAAGGTTTGTTAGTTGTGTGTTAATTTGGTTACTAGGGCCTATCTTAAATTGTGTAGGTTAATCGTAGGTTAAGCCTAGATCAGAATTTTCAATAGCCCACTCGTTGGGACGCCATTTTGCAACCTACTCCTCTTTATTAATGGATTTCAAAATATGAATTTACTTAAAATAGATAATAAAATTACAATAAAGTTACAATAAAATGTATTTATGTTCTATAGCTATTACAACAATCTCATTGGGCTATGACAGTGAAATTATATTTTGGTCTAGGTTTTTTAATGGGCTAGGCTAGATAACAATTTGGAGAGTAACGATCTTAATCTAGGGGTTGGTTCGTGCCGGGTATGAAATTCTGATAGGCTAATTAACTTAATTTATACAGTACTAAAGTAGGCTAAATAATATGAAATAGGCTAATAATGAGAGTCAAAAAAATTTAGGCTATAAGTTCTTAATTTGAAAGTCACTTGAAAGACTAAATTCAATTCACAATGGTGTGATGGTGGTTGGAAATTGATAATGAGTTTTTAAGTGTTAATTGAAGTTGATATTACCAATTTTTGTTGAATAGTGATTATCTTCTTTCTTTATGTCTCTTTATATTCAATATTTATATGTAGCCTATTCTGAATGTTAATTTTTACTTTTGAATATTTAAATCACTGGAGACTTGGCTCCCACATCCATCTCTCTCTATATCTTCCACCACAAGCACATTTTCTTCCTTTTCTTTAGCTTTCCTTCCAACAATGCTACTTCACACCTGGACACTGGACAGTACAAAAGAAATATTTCCTACCTAGACACTATTTAATTTTAAAATATTATTTTTGAATATAGTTTTTCTTCTTCACTAATTTATATTTCATTAAATTTAAATATTCTTTTTGAAAATACAGTAATTAATAAATATTGAAAGTAATTTAGCTACAATTCACATATGAGTACATTCATGTTTTATCTCACGTCGTAATATACAGTACTGTGACATTGCCTAACCATACAGGTTATTGACGTCGTAATATACAGTACTGTGACATTGCCTAACCATACAGGTTATTGGCGTCGTAATATACAGTACTGTGACATTGCCCAGCCATACAGGTTATTGACGTCGTAATATACAGTACTGTGACATTGCCCAGCCATACAGGTTATTGACGTCGTAATATACAGTACTGTGACATTGCCCATCCATACAGGTTATTGACGTCGTAATATACAGTACTATGACATTGCCTAGCCATACAGGTTATTAACGTCGTAATATACAATACTGTGACATTGCCTAACCATACAGGTTATTGACGTCGTAATATACAGTACTGTGACATTGCCCAACTAATATCATCAACTAATAGTTTCATTTTAAGACTTGGAAAAGTTTTAGTGTCCCCAAAAAATGAGGGATTATGGGCTCAACTGGAGACTCTATATATAAGATATATTAACCTTTAAACATTACCAATTTAATTTTAAACAGTATGATTTAAATTGGCATTCTGTTAATTACGTTTTTTTAACAAGCACTTATGACAGTGGTTATCTGGATCCGGAACCGACATTTTCTTGGATCTGCCCATCACTAGTATAAAATAAATAAATTTGCCAAATTTGATGAAAATATATAATGGACAAGCATTCTACAACAGTTTACTTTTTCTCTATACAAATAACATAGAAATTTTAAATGTAGCCTACAAACTTTTTAAATTTTCTCTTTAACGTCATATTGTTCAAAAATGTGTCAACATACAAACTTTTTTTTTACTGTACTTAAAAGGTATAAAATAAATCATTATGATAACTAAAATCTACATTTTAGGGACAACAAAATAGTGTCATTAAAATGCTGGCAACTTAATGGTAATTAATATAGGTTTGATGACCAATCAAAATTAAGAACAATTAATTGTGATTAAATTAGTTAGAATTTGGCTAGGCCTAGTTATAATTGGAATGTTAGGTTACGATTGGACTTTTATGTACAGAAGTAATAATAGTTGTACAACATGAGGCTATGTTGTTTTACCTGTGGTTTCGATAGGTGATTCTCTTCCATTGTCTTCTTTTACGATATTTATAGGGTATGAGAGGCAATAGACAGGCACCTGATAACGAGTCCCCAGCTCATCGTAGCACTCAGTTAAAAAACCTTCAAAAGAACATTCGGTCAGTTTCACATGCTCTTAATACAGGGTGATTGATATAAGTGTGCCAGCCGTTTTATTCGAAAACCATAAGAGATATCAAAAAAAGTTAAATGGTAAGTGCCTTGGACTTTTTATTTAAAAAATTGTAGTAAAGTTGAAAAATTTATTTTAGCCGCCATTTTTCCAATATGGCCGCCAACTTTGATTTTTCTTATGGAACACCCTGTATTTTATTTTGTATTCTGGTAGAAAATTTAATTTTAAGACGTTTTTATTCTTGTGATTTTTTTCATAAACCTACGTTTCAAAGATAATAATGGTTTAAGTTGTTAAATTTTGAATGGTTTTCGAATAAAACAGCTGGCATGCTTGCTTAGGCCCTTATTGAAACTCTTTCTCATGAAGAAATTTCAAAAATTTAACCATTATTATCTTTGAAACGGTTAGGTTTATGAAAAAATCACAAGAATAAAAACGTCTTAAAATTACATTTTCTACCAGAATACATAATAAAATAGGGTGTTCCATAAGAAAAATCAAAGTTGGCGGCCATATTGGAAAAATGGCGGCTAAAATAATTTTTTGACTTTACTACAATTTTTTAAATAAAAAGTTTAAGGCACTTACCATTTAACTTTTTTTGATATCTCTTATGGTTTTTGAATAAAACGGCTGGCACACTTATATCAATCACCCTGTATAAGGGTTCAATTTGTTACTGTACTACATTTCTTTGTCCTCTGAGTAAAGAATGAAGAGCCCAGCAAGAAAAAAATAATAATAATTTCTAATCAACTATGAAAATGTTTACCCTAGATAGGCTAATTTTTAATAGCATATAAATTGGGAGTCTATTGGGGATTGTCTGGTCTAGTGAGTCACTCGCAGTAACTTAAACTAGTGTTACATCATACTACACAGAAACAGGTACTTTTCCATCCGTATTGATAGGCTCGAAAGTTATCCTTTGCCAACCCTATACACGGAAAAGAAACGTAATGTACTTTTACGCCACACTACACTATTTTGACGAACTTCCCACGCAAGGATTTAGTCCAGAAAACCGCTGTTTGCCGCCAGCTTAATCAAATGGGGTTTCATTACGTACCTACTACTGTACTGCAATGAGTTTTACCGAACACCAATCAGCTGATTATACTGTATTTGGGTGGCAATGAGTAGTTATAAACAAAAACATAACCTCTCTTAGAGTTTATGACTAGTGATTTTTAGTCCTTTAGTTGGTGGTAATGTATAAGGATTTGTACAGATTTAGTAGTATGGCGTAAACTATCGTCCGGCAAACATTTATTTTCAGGACTTGTACGTAATATACTATTACCGTGTACTTAGTCAGCTGATGAAATAAACAGCTAATTGCAATGACCTATTTTATATTCTGAAATATAAAAATATAATTTATGTTATGTCCTAAATAAATTGTGTTATGAGTTTAAAATGTACTAATTTTTCTGTGTAGTATGATGTTAACCCATTCCCGCCTAAAGACACCCGTCCTAGCGTGTCAGGTTACAAAAGACCAAAGACGCCAGTCCTCACGCATAATGCATTATGATACATTATTATTAGGCTTATTATGCATTATTATTGATTTACCTAATTTTTCCCAATGTTTTAATTAGTTGCAAAAGTAATATAATTGCTTAGAATATTATTATCAATTTATTTCAAAACTCCCAACACTTTAACCTAGGCCTATTTTTTCGTTTTGCATAATTTTACAAAAACGGCTATAAAATGAAGGATTTTATATATAAACAAACCAAATAAAGTTTTTTGTGTAACAAAATAAATACCTACTATTTATAAATTTTACCAAGAAATAGATTAGGCCTAAATTTTTTTTCAAGGTTTGCTTCCAAAAAAATGTTATATATGCATACCGGTATATAAAAAATGGATAGGTATATATATATATATATATATATGAAAGGAAATTTTATAGATCAATTTAAGCACAAGTGTTAGGCATTAATTTCATAAATTACATTTACCTAACCCGCCATGTTAAACTTCCCTATCTCAAGCGTGATGTATACAACTTCCTTACTTCTCGAGTGATGTAAAGTATCAAAAACTCACTCGGTGATGTAATGAAACCCATTTAAATAACATGGAGTGATTAACTTAAAAAATATACCTCTATGGAGCCAACGACGTTCAACGCTAGAAATCAGCTGTGCTCTTGAATTTTATTGTTATGTTTTGAAGAATTTTCCTAACCTAGCTTTTGTTTTGTAAATGAACGTTACTGTTAGAAGATGAGTGAAATGGATACTGAAAAATATTGTTCGTAACCTCCTGTATATTGTCGGGTCAGGTAAAATATTGTACGTTACACGTTACGCAAGAGCGTGTTTACATCACTTAGGTAAATTATGCAACTCGCTTCCGCTCGTTGCACAACTTTCACCTGCGTGATGTAAAAACGCTCTTACTACACTTGTAAGGTAAATAGCTATTTTAAGGAGTTTTTTACTAAAACATTGTACATTGGCCCTTTTTTACTCAGTTCTAACTGCATGATACCTGACAAATAACTCAGTCACGAATGGGTTAAGTATCGTACGTTGGCACGTTGGTACGTTGACAGTTACATAACTTTGTTTTAAGTTATAGGTGCACCTGTAGTCATCCTCAAAAGGTTGGTATCTTTCATGAAAGGACTTCATGAAACACCTTAAGCTATGATAAAACCATTTAAAAAAAGTTTATTTACTAGTAAGAAAACATTAAAATAGGCCCTAACTTATTAAAATTAAAATGATTTCTATGACTAGGGCCTATTGATTATCAATTGAAATAATGAGTCAACCAAATTCTATTCGCTACAGTTACTATTTCAGGACTAAATGCAGGCCTGTGATTTGTTTAACAATTATATTATCAATAACACTTTTTATTTTCCATACATTACCATTAGGAACTGATATGTTGGCTCCATCTAATATGGCTTGAGCTAGCATAAAGTCCAGGGATTCGGCTGCTACCGCTGCTGCTCGGAGGGCATCCCAGATCTCCTTCCTCCCCTCAAAAGCAGGAGCTGTATCCCAGAATTCATCTCTTTTACTTCGTAACTGACCTTCGGTCAATGGCACATCAGATTTCCAGCGAATTGTTTCATGACATAATGGATGGTTTTTCCTGGTGCTCCCTGTAAAATGACAAATTTAATTAGATTGAAATTATGTTTATGAAAAATATTTGTCATATTATGTATTGTCTTAAGTAATGTACCAGAGTCAATCAAGTCAATTAGTAGATTTTAGTCAATGAGAACCCTTTATAATTTAATCAATTAATTCTATTTAAATTCATTCTACTAGTTCACTAATACTCTGATGCTGGGGAGCGAGCTGGTCAAGTGGTTGGAGCGCGGGACTTCGGTCCAAGTGGTCCCGGGTTCAAATCCCGCCAAATTACCAATGGATTCTTTCTAAGTGATAATGCCGCAACCCCTAGGTCTAGCCCGAAGTAATGTGAAAAACAATCCCAGGCTTGTGTCTAGCGTCCTAGGAAAAAAAAATACTCTGATGCTGGTAAGGTACAAAAATTGTTTGTGGCAATTCTTTTTAATGCTGACTTAGTGATGAGTAAGTAAAGGGAAGTCTACTTGTGTTGGTCAGTCTATGTTGCTACCCTAAGAAGACAATTTTGATTTAGAGAATTTCCCATTAGGAATTTACCATAGATGTCGTGGTAATACTTGGATCCCGGACCACCAAAAACCTTACCAAATACTTTCTTCCCCTAAACATAGTATATGGAGAAAGTATTGTTTTTGTAAACATTTTCGAGCTTGAGTTTTGGGAGGATATATTCCTTTTGTTCCTAAACGACATGGTATATTAGGTGAGGTCAATACTTCAGTATGATAAATTTTTTGGGGATCACTCACCTTATTGAAATCACGAGAACGCAGTCCTTGTCATATCACAATCATACACAGTTCATTGCACATAACTTACACATTGATGATAAAAAATATGCAAAAAAATAAAAATAAAACTAAATTTAAAATTTCAGACCAAAGTTCTCAACTCCGACGTTTTGAGCTGGCTCTCATACAAGTTCATGAACACATGAAAAAAGTTGATAGGCTACACGTGTAACCTACGGTTCAAAAATATCTGAACACGTTCATGACACCGGGCATTGTATAAAGTGGGAAGAAAGCTGTGTATTATACAAGGAGCCTAATTGGAAGAAAAGGAACATTATTGAGGCTTTGTTTATTACTTCAGATCAAGATTCATTAGCCAACGCATCCATTGATATCAGCCCGGATTACAATACGCTAATACAGAAAGAAATTAAAGGATGCGTAGAAAAATCTAAACAAAAGAAGATAATGCCATGAGCTGATCTAGATAACAGAGTCTCCCCTCCCCCTCCTTGACTACCGGGGTCGTCAGTCGTGGTTAGGCGCTCACAACGTTTGCGTGAGAAAAGAAATTACCTTGAAAACGCCGCACCTTGATTTTGGTGCGTCAAAACGTCGGAGTTGAGAACTTTGGTCTGAAATTTTAAATTTAGTTTTATTTTTATTTTTGTATATTTTGTATCATCAATGTGTATGTGCAATGAACTGTGTATGATTGTGATATGACAAGGACTGCGTTCTCGTAATTTCAATAAGGTGAGTGATGCCCAAAAAATTTATCATATTCCTTTTGGGTCCCCCTGAATCTCAAAAAGTGGTTTTTGGAGTGATGTCTGTTTATCTTTTGACTTTTATGCAAACGCGTTCACTTGCAGCCTAAATTGGATCAAATTTCCAGGATATGTACAGGTAAACATAGGCCTATAGGCCTACCGTACTCCATTCTAGGCCTAACTTAGTTAGTGTGCTTTATGTAATAACTAGCAGAGAACCCGTCCTTTGTATGGGATTGGCATATAAGTATAAAATCAGTATTGCAGTTACACTCGAGCTTTGAGTTTGCAATGGGAGAGGACACAGTATAAGAAAATTTGGTTCTTTTAATTTACGGTATACTATAGTATAGCACATTTACCATAGCTATAATGTTCTGCAACTGCACCTAAACAATAGAAAAAAGTAAGTTCTCATTGTGTAACACAGCTTTTTGTTGCTGCTTCGTTCAAATTAGCTGTTGTCATAAGTTAAAAAAAAAAAAAACTAAATGAGATAAAACTGTTTTTTTTTTTCAAATTTGTTAGGAGCCCCGGTATTTCTGAACTTTCTGGACTTATTCAAAGGTTTATTGCGGACATTTTCCATCACGATTGTAAAAAACAATACACAACGTTTCGGGATCTGGAATCTGATCCCGTCCTCAGGTGAAAAAAACTTAACTAACACATTATTTTTATTTATTTTTTTTTTTAAGAGGTTGGCGGCATCTTTTAACCTTGCATTTGCCCGTCCACATAGACTAAGCGCCCGTGCGTGGATCGTTTACAGCAAAGCAAGGAGTGAGCCGGTACAGTACAAAGGTGAACTGTACTGATAAATTTTAGTGGCAGTGACCAGGATCCGAACCCACGACATCGCTGCCTTGGGCCCAAAGTCCGCGACGCTACCAACTGAGCCACCGACTCACAAATCCGATTAAAACTAACAATACACACACGCCCAACCTAAGTTGGAATACACTACAGAGGGTAGCAGTAAAAAACTATGCACTGTATAGCAGTCAAGTCATGATACAACATGCAAATAATAACCACACAAAACACTATAATCTATAAAAGGTGTAACGTAAAATATAAAGAAGACACACACAGGGCAGTATTTAAACTTTCAATCAAACCACCAAATTTCTGTCAAGGAGGGGGTTGCTTACTCTCTGTTTGACAGGGCTAAGAGCATAAATTTGCTCCAATCGGGATGAGTTAAAGGATGAAATAAAGAAAGTAGAACAGGATTTGGCTAGTAACAGATACCCTCGATCCATTATAATCCAATGCAAGAAAGATAGGGCTACGTGTGAACCTTTACAAAATCGCAAGGAAAAGCTCGTCCACATGTCAATCCCGTATGTGTCAGGGATGTCAGAAAAAATCAGAAGGGTTGCTAGGAAATTTAATGTGCAAACAGCGTTTAGGACAAAAAACACACTTAGGCAGAGTCTCGTCAAAACAAGAATCAAGAATCAAGAATTTATTTGCCATTAGATAACACAGTTACAATAGGCTTTGTCAACATATAATTTTTGTATAGAAAGTCAAAGTAAACATTAAAGTCAACATTAAAATACATGATTTAAAAATTCCTCAGTTGAATAAAATGCCTTATCTTTAAGCAACTTACAAATAGTGGTACAAAATTTCTTAAATGGTAACATTTTTATATCTAAAGGCAATTTGTTGTAAAATAAAATCTGATGGTAACTATGACTATTGAAATATTTTTGCAATCTAATACTAGGCCTAGCTATGTGGTCTCTTTGCCTAGTGTTATAGGAATGGACAGATGAGTTTGTATTAAACTTTTCAATATTCTTCTTGACAAAACAAAGATTGTGAAAGATAAACAAACTAGGGAGAGTAAGTATACCAAGATTAGGGAAAAGGTCAAAACCCAAAAATGACACTCAGGATACTAAAAAATGTGTTTTACAGAATAAATTGCAATGATTGTTCCAGGCCTTACTATGGCAAGACAAAAAGACCGTTAAACATTAGAATAAAAAAACACAGAGAAAACACCAAAAAAGGTTAAGTTGAAAAATCTAAGATCGCTCATCATTGCTGGTCCAAAAATCATCGTATGAATTTTGAAGAGGAAGAAATTGTCCATAAGGAACCTATTTTTTTCAAATGTAAACTCATTGAACCCTTATACATTAAATTGGCAGACCAACCAATCAGTCAGTCATGGGTTGAAATCAGGCCACTTTGGCTACCCATTTTGAACAAGGAACTAAAGGATAGGGAACTTAATTGTTCAATAAATAGGGAAATAACGAGTTCTCCTCTAAATTCGCACGTTGTGTTAACTCATAGTAAAACTCGTGATAGGAATAAACAGAATTAACACTTATTTTGCAGCATCGTATATCGCTCCGCCAATTTGTTGGTTTTACTTTCCAGGGACCGGAAGCCATTTCTGTTGTCTCCGTGTTTCCGATTGGTCGGCCATGTTGCTTCAGTCTCATTGGTGGAGTCATTGCGAACGGTGCTTTTAGTGTTTCCATTGTGTGAGTTTTTTACGTTACACCTTTTATAGATTATAGTGTTTTGTGATAGGTTATTATTTTCATGTTGTATCATGACTTGACAGTGCATTATTTTGACTGCTACCCTCTGTAGTGTATTCCAACTTAGGTTGGGCGTGTGTGTGTTGTTAGTTGTAATGTGTTGGTTGTTTTTTCACCTGAGGACGGGATCAGATTCCAGATCCCGAAACGTTGTGTATTGTTTTTTACAATCGTGATGGAAAATGTCCGCAATAAACCTTTAAACAACATTAACTCATCATCACCAACAATGAACTTCAAACAAAGAATTTCTGGACTTTTCTTTAAACGTTTTAAACCATTCCTACGATCTTAATAAACAAGAAAATACCTTTTTAGAAAGCATTTTTTTAAGGCGCGGAAACCACTGCAAATTACGAAAATATATGCCTATAACTATTTTCTCAAGTCGCGGTGCACATCGCTTGCTGAGGAACGAGTAGCGGAGTGATGCCTTAAATCTTACTCTTTTATCTTACTCTCTTACTACTTTTATGGGTGACTACTTACTCTTGGGCACCTATTTGTGTTGCCAGCTAATTAGAAATAGGCCTAATGATTTAATAAGCGATAACTTATCGAACCGCATCAAAATAGTTATTTAATCCCATAATAGGCCCTACCTCACAGGTTATTATGTTGAACTACATCGACGATACAGTCAGTTACTAAAGAACACTGATCTAATTTAATTGTATCCTAAAACCGATTTATGTAACCATACAGCACGTTTGGTTAGGTTAGGTTAGTTTAGAAAAGTTTTAATTTATAACAAACCTAAAATAAACAATCAATACAGTAGAACCTCTTTAATACGAACTAATTGAGACCAGGGGTAGTTCGGACTACTGAATAGGCCTAGTTTGGATTACAGAACATATTGTTTTTTTTTTACATAACAATATGTTACGGTAGCTAAAATATGGCTAAAATTGATCAACATCATTTT